CAGGGATAGCATTGGAAGGCTTTCATTTGTAAACAAGCCATGTTTACAATATTTGAATATAATGCTCCCTGTCAGGATGGTTCCACACAATCCACAGGCTAATTAAAAATCTTGTTTGCTTTCCTTTTCAATTTGTACAGCGTTAGGTCTTCCTTCCTTCCGCTTTCCAGCAGTTTGTCTGTTGGCCAAATGGTGCTGTGCTGCAACCGGCCTGTTTATCACAGTAACACTCTCTCCCCCCCTCCATTACAGCTGTGGCTTTTGCTCTCCCTCCTGCTCGTTCCATTTGTGGCTTTCAGCCATTGTTCTCAGCCTGAGATTTGTGACCTGCAGTCATGCATGCATATATGTGTGTCCCCCTCCCGTAAGACAGAGTGAGAAAAAGAAAACTAGATGTGTGAGAGTTGTACTCAACATTACAGCTTTTCCATTTCATTCAGCCACTTCTTACAGTCTGCTTGATTGAGGGCTTAACCTGTAAGTCATGAGTTGACTGTCAAGTCCTGCAGTTAACTTTCTGGAAAGCCAGGCATAAATGTGTGAGAACAGCTTGCTGCTTTCATCGCAGAGGAAAGACATCCATTCTGGTGGTTCCTTAGTCAGACATTTCTGTGAAATGTGTCCTTATGTTTTCCAATTCATGACCATCAAGGCTGCAAATGGACCAAGATGCTACATAGCCGGCAAGGACTTCTGGCAGGTTGCCTAGATTAGACAGCTAGGAAGCAAGCTGCCAGGCTGCACTGAAAAAGAGAAAAACACATGGCAAGAAGGCAAAGCCAAATGAGGAGATGGATCCTGTGAGCTAAAGCGTGAAGAGAACTTCAGCTGCAAGCTGTGATGAGCTTTTACAGGGTGGCCCTTAGGATGACTCGTGGCAAAAGGCCTGAAATGGCACAGGAAGGAGTAGCAGGTATATCAGTCACTGCAATCCATACAAACCGGTTTTAATTTACCCTTTGAAATATGGCTGCCATAGCAAAACCCTTCTCCTATGATGAGCTCTACTGTGGGGTAAACATCCTTTCTGACAGTGATCCCCCTTCCTCATTTAAGAAACCATCAGTCCTGTCAATTGTTAGCAGTGAAAATTACCTCTTAGGTTATATTTCTACTATACTGAAGTGGAACTTGAAAAACTTGCTACAGCTGCCATAACTGCACAACTAGTTTATTATTGTTGTTATGTGCCATTGGTTTGCTTTCAGGGTATGGTGACCCTGTGGATGAACGGCCTCCAAAATGTCCCATCCTCAACAGCCTGCTCAGGTCTTGTAAATTCAAGGCAGTGGTTCCTGTATGCAGCCAATCGATTTTATATTTGGTCTACCTCTTTTCCTACTGCCCTCAACTTTTCCTGGCATTATTGTCTCTTCCAGTCTTTCTTGTCTTCTAATGATGTGCCCAACTTATGACAACCTCATTTCATAACTTTTGCTTCCAGAGAGAGTTCAGGCTTGATTTGATGTAGAGCCCACTTGTTCATCCTGCTGGTCTTCCAGGGCTCAAAATTCTCCTCCAGCACCATATTTCAAATTATTTAATTTGGTGATCAGAAATAAAAGAGTGTGGATGCCTTGGTTTCCAGTGACACTTGACATCCTTGCACTTGATGATCTTTTCTAATTCTTTTACTGCTGCCCTTCCAAGTCACAGTCTTCTTCTGATTTCTTGGCTACAGTCTCCCTTTGGATTGATGACTGAACGAGGGTATACAAAATTGTTCAGATTTTTATTCATTGTCAGCCTTAAAGTTGTGCAGTTCGTCTGTAGTCTTGATTTTTATCTTCTTAATGTTCAACTGCACGGGTTGAAAAAAGCCCACATTGGACAACTTATATCAGAGATCTGAGTGACAGTTCCCTAGTAACATCAAGTGATATCAAAGGCTAGGTTGGGAGATGCATACTCCAAGCCTCATTGATTAATCTGCCCCACAGAGCCAGATTGCAGGTCCTCATCTTACTAGAAAAGATGAAGAAAATATTTTTCATTGGGGAAGGACGAGAGAGAGACTTTGAGGAGGGATGAGATAAGTTTGGTCTTGCACATGCTTTGGTCTATGACTCCCATCAAATCCATTCAGCATGGCCACTGAGAAGGTGTTGGAGGAACTGTGATCCAGGACAATTGGAGGGTAAGAGGTTTCTCCACTCCAACCTAGTATGTAAAAAGTTGATATTAAAAATTAATGACAAAGGCTTCAAGATGAATCTTTACTTGTCTTAATTCCAGTATCTAGAACTACAGAGAAGTTCTGGCCATCCCCTTAAATCCAAATCTTATAAGAGGGTTGATGGAAGCACAGTAAGAGGAAGTAAAAAGCATTGGAGCATGTTTTCTATGAAGAAGATGTAAACCATCTGGGGTTTGTTGTTTTGGATGAGTTGAGTTGATTGTGCTTGGGAGAGGGGACTGTGACAACAATGCCAAAGATAATGGAGTGAAGTGATTGGAAAGTGCACATTAAATTGCTGGGCCTTCCCATTAGATATGATTGCATATAAATTAATTTTAGCTTTAGAAAATTACATTGATCACTAGCTGAGTTGGTTTTGGACAAAGCCAGGGAAGATAAGGATAGCTATCAGAAGCTAATAGCCATGCTGACAAGTCAAATACTGTAGGGCTGTCATTATTAGTGGCATGAGTCTGATTGTTCATGTTGAGGGCAAACAGCAATGCATGGTCTGTTGTGTTCTCATGACTTAAAAACAAGAGAGAAAATGGAGTTTTGGATCAGTTTTTTAATAATATTTTGAACATGATTCTTACATGGTTATGCCAAACTGAATTAAAGAAGAGATGGCCCTGAGCCTTCACAAAGCACATTTTCATCAGTATTGGTTGCCTAGACATTGGGCTTAAGGATTCCCAACTCTGCACAGGATTTAGACAACTGGGTGTTAGGAGATACAACTTCTGGGCAAAGGCAGGCAAGCATGCAGGGAGGCAGGCTGGATAATGAAAAATTAACCACTGTCAGGTTGACAAATAAAGATAATTTTGTTTGCTCCCATGCTTCATCCGTACTTGGAAAAACTAAATAATTTCCCTTGCTTCCTCCAGGGATACCCTCAAATGATAGTGTTAAACGTCAACCTCAATTAATCAGTTAAAGGCAGCAACATGAAAAGCAATAAAACATCATGCTACCCAGGAATGATCCAATGCAACATTATGTGTGATAAAAACAAAAAGTATGAAATATTTGCCATGATGCATTATCATAAACTGTATAATGTTTGAATCGATAACATTTTATTTTATTTATAATATTTGAAGGTTTCAGGTACCTAATTGTGCTTATAATTGAGACACAAGTTTCTATGCCAATAAACAGTAAATAATTTACAACACGGAGGAAATTAAACTGTCAGGAACTATGAGAAGTGAAGTAGGAATTGGCTGAATGGGAAAACATGGCATCTGGTCAAGATTTAAAAAAAACGATTTGGGGAAGAAAAGTGCCAAGAGGATCTTTAAGGAATGCAGATTTGTGGAGTTTTGCCATATCACAGTTGAAGCCAGCACCTTTTATATCCTTATCAAGAATAAAACAGAGGCACAATAAACCTACTTCATGTTTTATACAGTACAGTTCTTCTCCCCCTCTGAGACATACGCCTTCATGTAAACATAAAGAAGAATGGGAACGTCTAAGTTAACAAGGTTTATGGGATTCACAGGTTCCCCCCTGAGGCCAGATGGGTTGGCAAGCCCCCTCTGGTCCTCCCGGTCCTACTTCAGTGGCCCATTGGGAAGCTGCAAGCAAAGCCATCAGGAGGCCACAGCCTTTGATGAGTCTAAACTCTTACCAGGCTTACCAAGGAAGGACAGGCAAAGCTGAGACACCAGATTAATTTGCAGGGATCAGCAGAAGTGATTTTATAGTTCCAGCAGTAATGGGGACAAAGAAATTCCTGTAGGCAGGTACTGTTTCTCCTCCCCCAGTTACACTACTAAGTGCTCCAGGGAGTTACTAAAATTCAGAAGTGCTTTTAACTTGTACTCCAGCCTTCAAGGTAGGAATATCAAAACACCCACAAAATATGAAGGCACTCAGTAGGTGGTTGAGGCAAGGCTCTTCTTTAGTACCAACAACTCTTTTGTTCTCAAAAATAACCAAACAGTTGTAAAATTTTATATTTCATTAAACATGTTGCAAGAAAAAGACAAAAAAGGTGAAGTTTTCAAACAATTTCAAGGGTCACAAAAAGCTGTCAAAAGCTGTGGAGCAAATAAGCATTCAGAAAGAGTTAAGGCCTGAGGCAAGAACACTTCCAGAACAGTTCCCACAAGAAAAAAAAAAGAAACCTAAGCTAATACTTCGTGAAAAAGTGAGAGGTTGGTTACTATTAAGGTACCACTCGTATTTTTTGGTAGAGTGAATGGCATGAGGTAAGATATCAAAAGTGGAGAACTGCCAGTTTACATTGTCTGAAACCTATCTGGTGTTTGAAACAGGATAGAAGGTAGTGTGAATTTGTAGGAGAGAAAAGATGTCCTGAAAGGAGGACTGAGTATGGTTTACTGTGAGTGTTCCCTTTTGGCAAAGCAACAAGTGTGGTGCTGCTTCTTACCCATCAGGAGGTGACACAGGTGGACCAGTGAGTGTGAAATAAGCATGCTTTTTTTTCTTGCCCAGAGCTCATGAATGAGAAGGTTCTTCCCACAACAGAAGCAGCAGGAAGAAAGGATGTGGTCCATTTACTTTCAATTGGGTGTCTCACATGCATCCTTCTTAATTCTAGTTTGATCTCCAGAGGGTCAGGGTTTGTGGGCATTGTGGGTTTTTTTTTCTCTTAGAAATTATATGTGTTAAAACTGAGAAAGGTTCTATAGTTGTAATTTTTATAGGTGTAATTTTGCAATGTATAACATTTCGCATGTGCTCACATTCTTTTCATGAAGGCTGAATTAAAAACTAAATCAGTTATCAGTCACTCTGAGTAAATCAAAACATGAAGTAATCATCTTCTTCTCTTTTAAATCCACAGCACAGTATTTTGCATCCATCATGGTAATTGTTGGCTTGTCGGTGGTAGTAACTGTCTTAGTTCTTCAGTTTCATCATCATGACCCTCAAGCAGGAAAGATGCCTCAATGGGTAAGTTACCAATACAAATAGACAATTTGGGGGTGGGATTATGGGCATCTCTCACACAAAATGTTGTTGCCAATGAGAAAACTCTATCATGAGGAAAAGGAAATTCTTTTTCACTGAGGAAAAGAATGCTGCAATTCCTTATTCTTTCTTGTGATGGTAAGTGAGGGCTTCCATCCTTGAAGTGTGTTTTTTCAAAATAGAGATCAGAGTGTTAATAGAAAAGATTCTACATGTTTCATTAAATGTGACTGAGCTTGAAAATCTAACCCATTTATGTTAAGATCAGGCAGAGAAAATCCTTAACACATTGATTTGCTATGACGTTAATGTTAGAAGCCACAGGAAGGATGGAGAAAATAGCAGAACATACTTTGATTGACACCATTGACTGCAAGCAGCAAATTTTATTGTTGGCTTCCTTTCCTTTCCTCTCTTACAAGGACATGAAAAACTCTTGAGCAGCAAAAAACAAAATATTTAAATAGTATGAGGCAGTTCAATTATTTTTGAGGACTGGATCGCAGCAAGAAATTTAGCAAGCGTTATAAAAGAAATAAGGATTTTTATCTTCTAATAGTGTATGGACAAGGTCTTCAGAGAATGGTATTTCCAATAAACCAAATAAAGGTTTAATAAAATGCAGTTGCAAAAAAAGGGGGGCAAGAGCACAGAATATGTGAAAAAGAATCTAGCCTAGCACTGCCACATAGGCAAACTCTCTTTCAATAAGGCTGTTCTAACAATCCTCCTTACATTCCTCCCACAATCTTGACTGCTGGCTAGAAATGATGGGACTTGCATTTCAATCTCTCTGGAAGGTGCCAGTCTTGAGAAGGCTGTCCTTAAAATACAGTATTTGACAACTTGTCTAATACAGGCTGGGAATCTGAGAGGTGACATCCAAAATATCTGGAGTGCCAAAGGTTTGCCACTCTGATGAATGTTGCTCTCTCCCCCTTCAAATAATGCAGACTGTTTAATGGAGAAGGGCATACAGCTGGATAATTTGCTGCTGCAATGCCTCTTAAAAACAATGTTTAAATCTGACTAGAATATGTTACTCATTAAACCAAACAGCTAATGCTGTTATCACTGGTTATGTTATTTTTAAACTTTTAATTACATTATGCCTTCAGTGTCAAAGAAAGTCATTCATTATAGATAGCCTTATTGCTTTAATTTTTCTTACTTTCTGTCTCTTGGTTTGTTTGTCTATTTGTCATGTTATCAAATTTTGGCAGCACTATTGCAAATTGGGCAGAAGTAGCAGGATTGCAAAAATGCACGTATATTGTTCATTGTTGTGTTATACTTTAACATTTGTTTTAGCTAGCTATCTGGGCACAGACCCCTACAAGCCTCATCATTTGGGGCACATTTTTCTGTTCTCTTGGAGAGAAATCACACATTTGCAAAACTTGTGTGCATGTGTGTGTGACAGTGCAAACCTTAAAATAACAATAATTGCTGCCTTCTTTTTGAATAGACTTCTTAAAAATAGAAGCATTAAGTGGATTGTTTTTTTTTATCAGGGAATAATGACTGTGAAAACACTTAGATTCAAAAAGGTGAAATATTGCTAGGGATATTGTGTATAAATTACAGAAACCACTATATATATTTTAAAGAGTTTGATGTCTTGGTTTTACAGTGGAGGAGAGAATGGTTGTAGCAGTTGGAGAATCCTCGACTGTCTTGCTTTGTCAAGAAAGCCTGGTTCAGCCATAAACAAGACATTGCTGCGATCCCATTGCTAATTTTCCTCTGCACAGTGTGAAGTTCAGCAGTAGCTCACGCAGCCTTTTGTTACTGTTGATTTTCTGGGTGAATATTTCAGAAATGTGCAAGACTCATTTTCTCATACATGCAAAATTTCTGTGAGATTGACAAAAAGAATATTCTCACTCCCTTAGGAAAATATAGCCCAAATTCTGTTGCATAGTTATGTCAGTAGAAGGGAAATTACCAAATTACTACTAATTAACAAGTCATAATTTGGATTTCTGGTTGCTCACCAAGGTTGTTGACTGGCATGCAACAAGGAATCCAAGCAGAGATTTCTTTATTAGCAACCATGTGTCATTGTGAGTTACATCATTTCCCTTCTGCCAGTGTAACAATACAGGATTTTGGCCAGTGTTTTCTTGTTTACCGTGAGAAGATGCCACAGGGCAAGATTTACACCTCTAGTGGTAGATCTCAAGTTATACAAGTTGGTTATAAATCAGGGATGGGCTAACCTTCTGGCTGAGCTAATGTGATGCTGGGAGAACTTAGATAGTTGTGCACTGTAAAGTTGGGACTGACTTTCAGTGACCTTAATAGGGCTTTCAAGGTAAGTGAGATATTAAAGGAGTGGTTTTACTAGTTCCACACTCCTACTGAGTTTCCATGGCCAATTGAGGATTCAGATCCTGGTCTCTAGAGCCCTAGTCCATCACTCCATTACACCACACTGAGCAGCCATCTTCATTATAGCATGAAGCTATGGGATCTGCCCATAGCCTAACTGCATGGATGGGGGATACAGCTTCCCCACCAACAGAAGGTTCCTGGGTGAGAAGACTGGGAATGGGGGCTATGGCATGGGTGGTAGCGCCAGTTCAGTCAGGAGATAAGGGAGATGGAGGGAAGGGGAGATGTTCTCTGGTGTTAGAAAGATGAGTCAGGAGGAGACGCTGCCGCCAAGAAAGCGGAATATACGTGGTGAAATATAACGTCACATCCAGATGAACTTTGGAGAAGCGAGCAACATGTTCTCCTGACTAGAAAAGCTGATAAAGCTGTTGCCAGAATAAGTAAGCTTCCCATCTCCATGCATCGTTTCGTCTCTGCGTATTCTTTCTCTCTTTTGTACTTCATGAGTTTGGAGGGAGAGGAGCAGGGATGACTAGCTACTGAAGCAGAAAAAAAAGAAAAGCATAAACAAACAATGGACAGACAGGAGGCAGCTGGTTCCTCTACCGCCCTTTCTGGCTTTTTTTTTTCCTGCTTTTCCCCAGAGAAGCTCCTCAGTTCTCAACAATCAAGCCCGGGTTGTACGTGTAATGTTAGTATCATTTGGTGCCAACCTCTCGGACCCTTGGCAAGGGATAGAGAAAAAAGCCTCCAACAGTGTTTCCTGCTGTGCCTTTTTATGACCACCAGTAGAGATGGGCACAAACGGCCATTTAGGCCATTTGTGCCAGTTTGTTTTTCAGCCAAACAGGTGTTGGGTGTGTTCCCAGCCCTGTTTCCTCCAGCAGGCCCGCACTGAGAGGCAGTGTCTAGGTTTCCCTGCCCTGCCTTTTCCAGGTGCTGCCTCTGAGTGGGCACCCACTGGAGGAGGAGGAGGTAGGGCTAGGAACCGCAAACATCTCTTCAGCCAAAAAACTAACTGGCACGAACTGCTGAAACGGCGGTTTATGCCAACTTCTAAGCACCTGCTATACCAAACACATCTTAATATCCCAGTAAGGTAGCAAAATACAGTGGTGCCTCGCTTGATGAGGATAATCCGTTCCAGCAAAATCGCTGTAGAGCGAAATCATCGTCAAGCAAAATAAAAAAGCCCATTGAAACGCATTGAAAACCTCTCAGTGCGTTCCAATGGGCTAAATACCTCAGTGTCCAGTGAAGATCTTTCATAGGGCGACCATTTTCGGATGCCTGTGCAATGAAAAATCCATCCTAAAGCACAGCAATGCCTGTGCAATGAAGAATCCATCTTAAAGCACAGCAGGGAGCCATTTTACACAGCGGGTGGCCATTTTGAACCCTGACGATCAGCTGTTTTGATCGTCGTAATGCGAAGAATCCGTTCCCAAAGCAGGGAACCGATCGTCGGGAAGCAAATTTTGCCCATTAAAATATCGTTTTGTGATCGCAAAAGCGATTGCAAAAACCTCATCGTCAAGCGGATTCGACGTTTAACGAGGTAATCGTTAAGCGAGGCACCACTATATCAGCTTGCTGAAATAGATTGCAACACAGGCTTTTAGAAAGAAAAAAAAGAAACCTCAGAGGAATGGCTACTGCTTAACAATATTCCTGTAAGTCATTTTATCTGTTTTCTTTTGTCACTAATTCATGATGGAAACTTCTGCCCCATAATATCCAGTTGCAGTCAAAGAAGAGCTTACATGTTTGTGGGATGATTGTGCAATGAAAAAACTTTGAAGGTTGTGATCAGATGATGACATTCCTGTCCCAGGGCAGCTGAGCATACCATGGTTTTTGTATAATGTGTTGTTTGAAACATGCAAGAGACATGCTGAAGAGGACTTTCGGTTCTGCACACTAGATTGCCTGAGAAAGATACAACGCAGACCCGTCTCTGTAACTGTGCAAAGGAACACCTCTGTAGAATACTGAGAAGTCGTCTCTCTCATCCAGACCACAAAAACAGGAGGCACTGTGGCTCTTGTGATTCTCATCACATCAACACTGGTGTGATGTAGCTGGGCCTGTTGCAGCCACTGTTACACATTTCTCTCACAGGCATTGCCGCAGTTCTTTGCTTGCTAAGAGTGAGAATGCATTTGGATTATTATACATAGAGAAAGGAGAATTGTCTTCCAGCTCTTTTCTTTTATGCCCATCTTTCCCCTTCAGCTTTCCTTCTGCCCATAAATATGTTGCTGTAAAATTATTTCCCAAATTAGAACAGAAATAATTTTAGGGGCCAGGCCCAGCTGCTTCAAAGAGTCAGTAGAATTCCTACTTGAACCAAGAGATGATTTTTTGGAAATAAAGTCTTAAATTTGTTCTAACATTGTCCACCTTAGCTGTCATCAGCTAGTTAATCCACTGTGACTTGTTCTTTTAATTGGTATGTTGCTGGTATACAGGGGTTCTGTGTAATGTTCATTGCTGCAGTCCAGCAAAAGATATATGGGAGTTGTAATGAAAAAAAGGGTCATTCTCAAACGGTGACACCAGACAATCCTACATCAGTGCCTAGACTGGACTTTTGAGACCAAGATAATAAAGGCAGTAATTGCCTTTATTATCTTGGTCTC